CTCAGACAGGAACTAAACAAATGGGATAAATATACAAGGCAATGCACTTCATGATTACAACAATTACAAAACAAGCCATTAAAAATAAATAATTCTCATGTTATGTTCAATCAAAGCTTTCATTTTTCTTGTTCACTGGCAGTGTATACATGTAGTTAATGTCAAGGGCTCAGCAGGAATCAAACCAGCTCCATCTGTTGCCATGTCAACCTTCCAAGAAGTGGCAGCAGAACTGTTTGATCAATTAAATAAAATGACAGACTAAAATGTCTGATTACGCAACATGTGCTGAACTAGAGCCTAAAGAAGAGTCTGTGTTCCCAATGAACTGTGCACCCATTGCTCTCTGATAATAAGTTTGGTTTCAAACAAAATCCATTTTTAAATGCTGATTATGCAGATTATTTATGTTGTTCATCATTTCTAGTTAATAAAAAATGATTTATGGTTTAGCACTGAGTGACAGCGGACTCATTTCATACAAGTGATTGAAATTGAGCACAACAGTGATGCAATGATACAAGGGTAAAAGAATGGAGAGGCATTCAGCAAACTGTCAGAATCAATCTCACAGTGCTGAGACCCTTTGGCCATAATAGTGAACAGCATATGTAAACAATTTAAGCATTTCTTAATATCACTAATTAATTGTAAACTCTATTATACCATCAACAATGAAACCTTTTATAATAACTGTTAAAAAATGTTGCTGTTTATTGGTAAGTGTAATGTGTTTAATCAGAAAAAACAGTAAAACAAAATGGCATCTCACTTGCTCTGCTTTTTGGTGAAAGACAGAGGACATGGCAAGGATGGTGGAGCGTTCATCCAGAGCAGCAGCAAAACTCTTCCAGTCCTGGTCCAGTTGACCTGAGATCTGCTTGATCTGAGTCGAAGCGTAGTGACCAGCCTCGGCCAAACGACTGGCCACTGACATAATCCTATTGATGTTTACGTAGGCATTCTAGGAGAAAGTACAGAAATTGCTTTAAAAAATTGTATTTGCTCACAAAGACTGATCCCTGTAAATGGAACAGGAGCACAAAATCAGAGTTATGTTCAAATCAAATTATGACAATAAAAAACATTAACATGATGAATCATTAAGCTAAAAACTTGGGAACTGAAATGATCAAAGCAAATCTAGGAAGCAACTGCAGAGGTACAGAGTACCCAAGTAGATAGAAGGAGATAGACGAAACAGAACAATGAAACATGTCTGAATGAAACCAAGCTCCTGCTGTTTTTGAGGAGCGTATGAGTTTTTGTATACTACTTTGTCACTAACCTGGTATATGTGGTGGAGAGTTGAGCACAGGCGTGTCCTTCCTGCGAGGCTTCTTCAGGTGGTCTTCGTGGTGCAGCTCTGCAGTGAGGCTCAGATGGTCCTCGTGGTGCAGCTCTGCAGTGAGGCCCTCTGTGTCTTCTTTAGCCAGGCCCTGGACTTAAACCAACAGAAAAAAACAACTGTGAAGAATGTGATGAGTGGACACAGTTGTTATAAAAAATTTTATGTGCCAGTATTTGGTGGGTAATAAACAGAAAATATACAGCTCAGAAATATAATAGTACATAATAAAGGTGCACTATGTAACCTTTCCAGTGGAAAGCCCACAGTCTGGGTGTCTCAATGGAGATGTGATTGCTTTGCCTAGAAAATTCCAAAATTCCACATGTATAGCATTAAACATGTGCACCTCTATGGAAACAAACAGCTGACGGCTCTAGACATGACAGATCAGATCTGTGGAAAGGGGTGTGCCCACTGACAGAATGCATGTCTTTTAGTGTATTTCTTTTTGCCATAAAAATAATGAATTAATTAATCATTGCATTTATATAGCGCCTTTCAAGATACCCAAAGAGCTTTACAGTTCATTATTTATTCACTCAACCCTCAGTGGTGGTAAACTACTACTGTAGCCACAGCTGCCCTGGGGCAGACTGATGGAAGCGAGGCTGCCAATCTGCACCATCGGCCCCTCCGACCACCACCATCTCACACACACACCCACACCACTTTCATACTAGGCAATGTGGGTGAAGTGTCTTGCCTAAAGACACAACACAAGTTTTTGCCACTGGTGGACACCTGGAATTCCCAGTGGTCTCCCATCCAAGTACTGACCAGGCCCGGCCCTGCGGAGCTTCTGAGATCTGACCGGGCCAGGCTTTGACAAACTGGTATGTCCACCATAAAAACTCATGTAAAGGATTAAATGATAGGTTTAGTGTCACACTGTGGAACATTCCAGACAAAGCAAATACTGAGAACTGTGACCAGAAGAACTATTCAATACAGAGAGATTAAGTGAGAAAGGTAGAAAAGAGACAGAGGGAGAAAGAGAGGAAGAAGAGAGAAAGGGTTAGTGCAAGACAGAAATCAAGAGAGAAGAGAGAGAGAGCAAGAATGAGGACATGAGGAAAAGAAACAGAAGAGAGAGAGAATAGAGGGAGATGGAATGAAGGAGAGAGAGAGATGAAGAGAGGGATGGACAAAGAGAGAGAGAGGCAGAGGTACTCACAGTTGTGCTCTGGCTCCAGGGTGGCCTCCACACAGCCTGTCGTCATGTCTCCTCAGGCCCTGCAGGATCACATATCACACACACACACACAAATGCACACACGCACGCACACACACACGCACCACACACACACACACGCACTGGTTTAGGATTTCCATGCTTCTGGGGACATCATATTGACTGCTCATTTCCTGGAGACGAACCCTGACCTTAACCTAACCCCTCACCTTCACCTATTTGAACCCATATCTGAACTTTTAATCACATTGTAGATCTAATCATAAAAGAGTTACGTGAGGGGGACCTGGTTTTTGTTCCAATGATGTGTGTGTACATATTTAGTCTTCACACTGTGATAAAGACGTGCACACACACAGACAGATGCATCTTTCATGAGAAGGACAAAGGATCCCTGTCTCTCTCTCACTCTCACTCTCCCTGCTTTGATTTGGAAAAGAATGGATGATACACAATTTTTATTTTCAATAACAGAAACAACAAATGTTTTAATTCTATGAGGGATAGAATTTCAGCTTTTTTTTTTTTTTTTTTTTACTTGAAAGCATTCTTCAGACACAGTAATCTGACTGTTCTTTTTATGCCATATGCCCTGGACGTGACTGGAATAGGTAATGAAGTGTCTTGCTCAACATTTACATTCCCTTCAATTCAATGTCATATCCCAGTCTAGCAATCTGGTTTAAAATAAAACGAAACTACCCCGAATAGGAGAATAACCTATTTACCTATTTACCTCCTGGTGTGAGCTTACGCTGAAAATGACAAGCAAAAAGTTAAGAAAATATGTGTAAAAATAACATAATTTCAAAGTAACAAATAATAATTAATATCTTGTGTTCAAATGCAGGTTAACATTTAACACAAACCAAGCCCTGTCTTCACTTCACATCTGCAAAGCACTCATCAAATTCAACTATGAGCTACTCAAACAAAGAACAAATGTATCCAGATCTTACCTGAACCTCCGCTGTGTCCCCATGGTCCAGGGCAGTGAGGAGCTGTGGTTATGAAGCAGAAGGGCGGAGCTTAGTCCTCACAGGCCCTCCTCCAGACCCCCACCACACACACACACACACATACACACACACACACACACACACACACACACACACACACACACACACACACACACACACACACACACACATGTACACAGATACACACACACGCAAACACACGACTTGAAAAGACACAGCACAGGTGGATTATGTAACTTTTCTCACCGAGGATCTGTCATCTGCTGGTCTCCATGATGTTATTGCTTTATCTGAGATGTTTTACAATATGGCATTAAACGTATATTTATTTCACATTGCATGTTTTTCAAAGTATTTTGGAGAAATAGAAACCTGTACTTGAGTAAATGCAAGATTGCCATACTATCTTATCAATGCTCAGTCTCATCACAATAATAATAATAATAATGATAATAATAATAATAATGGAAGTGATGGAAGTGAGGGTGAAAATCTGCACCCACGGCCCCTCCCACCACCACCGAACACCACATTCCTACGAGGTCCTTCAGATCACCTCCAACACTCACACACACCACGGTCATTAGGCACAAATCAATGTAGGCAAAGTGTCTTGCCAAATGACACTGCACTAGAGTCACCTGTGCCCCTCTGTGGCTCCTGGTATTCCAAGTGGTCTCTAGTACTAACCAGGCTCAGCCCAGCTTCACTTCAGAGGTCTGAGAAGACCAGTCTTTGACAAGAGGTTTGGCCTTGGAAGCTAAGCAGAGGCTGGTCAAGACTTGGATGGGAGACCGCTGGGAACACCAGGAGCCACCAGGGGGAAGCAGTGACTCTAGAGCAGTGCCATTGTGTCCTTAAGCAACACTTCTCTTCCACTTTCCCTATTGCCTAATGGATGTGGTGTACTGTCCGTCTGCTCCAGGGCAGCTGTGGCTACAATAATTCTTTACCGTCATCTAATGTGGAGTGAATGAATATTGCACAAAAGTGTAAAATGACTTTGAGCATCTAGAAAAGCACTATGGGCCTATAAGATTAATGTATAATTATGATACAGAACTAAAGAGGATCACACTCTCTGGACATGAAGGGACTCCTAATGAGCTGATTCTCAATAAGATGTAACCATGGCAACACTTTATACATTTGTATTGTAAACACTAGACTATTGTAAACACTGACAATGCTTTCAGGACCCACAAGACGAGACGGTAATTGAAAAAAAAAAAACACACAAAAAAACACTTCAATCTACCATGTTTCTGCTTGAATAGCATAAACAGATTATGGTGTGTACAAAACCATATTAATTAATTAAAACTGATACAGAAACTTATGTGCTTATTTTACATAAATACCCAAAGTAAATGCTTCAGTGACGTGCACTCTCTCTGCCCTGTCACATTTTCTGCTAATTCATTACATTTACATTTACACACTTCAATCTTCCACCACAGCAGCAGAGTCTCCTCGGTCTCTCAGCTCCTCCTCTTCTCCTCCAGAGTCTTGAGCCACAGGGAGATATCACAGTACTCCAACTGAGTTATACAGTTACATGTATATATCAAAAGTATAGTCTTGTGTAATGTCTTGTACATCTGTGTCCGTAGACGTCCCATCAGCTCATCGTCCTTCAGTTGTTAATGTCGAATTGAGTGTGTGAGCTAGAACAAAACAAAAGGATGATGTATATAAAGTGCTTGTTTAGATGAAAGTGCATGTGACAGGTTACACTACTCACATCACAAAGGTCACATATTTATACTTTAGTAAAAGTCTTCAATTTTGTTCAAGTTTATCTTTTTTTTTAAATACAGGCAGCAGATATGACATGTGGATGATAGATTAGAATTAGATGAAGCGCCCCAGGCCCTTTGTCTTCTCACATGTCACCACTAGAGGCTGTCTACATTACTGCTGTGTGATAGTGGTCCAGCTCTGGCCTGACAGAAGAAGACCAGGTAAGAGCAGGGGAAGGTGAGGGGGCCAGGTGAGGGGGAAGTGGGAACAGGAAACATCTGACATCTGCTGGTAACAAACAAGCAAATCAATCAAACTTTAGGATGGGAGCTTTAACTGTTGCCTAGCAACATAGTGGTTATTTGACTAACTAAATAAATGAAAAGACCTTTGTTAAATGAAAGTTTAATCTGTCCATCTGTCTTCCTTGTGCATAAACAGTCTGCATTTCAGCTGGAGTTTTTAGTGTGGTTGTGCACACTCTATTACTGGAGACAGTGCACACATTAGGGCTGGTCTCAGTAACACCTCCCACACTGAAAATGAGTCCCACTCAAGCCTTGCCACTCCGACAATCCCAACAAACATAATTATAAAAAACACCAAATCAAATGATAATTAGAAAAACATGAAAACCTGTCAGATGCACTTCAAAGTAACATGCATGCAGCATCTTCTCTCTGACATGATGTCTCAGACTCACTCTGTGTAGAAATCCCACCAGGGGCAGTTTGTCACTTTTAGCAGGAGCGCAGCCCAGGGCTAGGTGAGAGGGGGTCTGCTGTAAAGGGAGGGACCCAGGGGCCTCGCTGTAGGGTTGTCGGGGTCCATTTTGCAGACTGCACTGTGTGGCCACAGTTCTCCTGTGAGCCTCTTCAGGCCCTGAAGACGAGAGCCGCAGCTGAGAGCAGAGGTGAGACTGCTCATCCAGGAGCAGGAGCATGTTCTGCACACAGACAGAAGAAGGGCTGGGTTTAAAGCCACTTTAACAATAATAATGCAGTATGTGCTTTACATTTTAGTGGGGTTCCTTTTTAGCTACACAGATGATGTTGAGACCTGAAAAAACCTGCACTTGTGAGAGGCAGTATTGAGTCAGCCATTTTCTACTAGGGAATACATTTGATCTCTACATGACAGTACATATCTGTGACAAAGTCATAGTCAACTTGTCAGTGGTTGTAGCCTTCTGGTCCAAAAGTTTCTATGGATGGATGACGTGTCTTTGGCTGGATGCACAGCCAAAAACACGTTACACTAGTGGAGAAATAAAGTTCATGTTGAATCTTGAAAAGAGGAATCCATCACACAGTGAGGAGAGCACACAGTCTAACACAGTTTTAAAGAGAACTGACTGTACCTGAGTGAGGCTGCGGTCGTCATGGTGCACCAGATCACACAGCTGCTTCTCTAGCTCTAGAGCCTCCTGCCTCACCGCCTGTCTGAGCCTCAACAGCTCTGCCACACGCTCCCTGCAACACACAGCACACTACATCTACATCTATACATCTATACTTGTGTGATACAGGACTCAGGCCTGACACACTACCTGTCCTGGTGGGAGAGGGCGCTGTAGACCACTGTCTGCTCCTCTGTCAGATGTTCCTCCACGAGGCCCAGCACAGAGCAGAACCTGTGCAGGTGCAGAAGCAGCTCCTCCAGCTCCCTCTGAGACAACTGAGAGCACACAGCAAATGAGTGTGGATCACTCTGCACCCTGGACACTTTAGCATGGGACTTATGTAAAACGGTACACTGTTCAGTGTTTGGGAAACAAAAATAAAAAAAACCTGTCCAAAGACGGCACAAGGACTGGCTCTGAGGAGAGAGGTCACTCAAACCAAGCCAATATAGAAAAAGCAGTTAACCAAACATTGAACTTGGTCAGTGTAGTGATTTTTCTTACATTCTTTTAGATCTCATAGCTGAATTGTGTTTCTTTTTCTTTCTTTTTTTTTCATTTTATTTATTTATTTCAATTTAATACTTATTTAAATGTATTTAGTAATATTAAATTCCTTTCCTGAATGATTGGCCCAATATACAGTACTTTATGTTGTGTTCCAGTGGTCCTTGAAGGGCAGATATTTCAAGTTCTGAGTTGTAAATTTAGACATCTCAGACCACGAGCTCAGAATCCCTACTCATAAACTCTTTTAACATTTCAGAACCCTGAGCTGCTTAGTTAGAAAACTCAACATGGCTGCCCCCTGTGTATGGGGAAATGTTGACATCTAATAGTTTAAATGGTCGCTGTATCGGACCGTTGTGGTGAAGCGGGAGCTGACCCGAAAGGCGAAGCTCTCGATTTACCGGTCAGTCTTCGTTCCTACTCTCACCTATGGTCATGAGCTCTGGGTAATGACCGAAAGAACAAGATCGCGGATACAAGCGCTCAAAATGAGTTTCCTCCGCAGGGTGGCTGGGCGCTCCCTTAGAGATAGGGTGAGGAGCTCAGTCACACGGGAGGAGCTCGGAGTAGAGTCGCTGCTCCTCCACGTCGAGAGGAGCCAGTTGAGGTGGCTCGGGCATCTGTTCCGGATGCCTCCTGGGCGCCTCCCTCGGGAGGTGTTCCGGGCATGTCCCACCGGGAGGAGGCCACGGGGAAGACCCAGCACACGCTGGAGGGACTATGTCTCTCGGCTGGTCTGGGAATGCCTCAGGATTCCCCCGGAGGAGCTGGAGGACGTGTCTGGGGTGAGGGAAGTCTGGGAGTCCCTGCTTAGGCTGCTGCCCCCGCGACCCGGCCCCGGATAAGCGGACGAAAATGGATGGATGGATAGTTTAAATATTGATAGTATTTGGGTTATTTTGTTGCTTTAGTTGCTCCTCCTGTCCACCTGTTTCTGTGACCTGCTCCTGCGCACTGAGCCAGTATAACTGTGAATGACACGTGGCACCTATGAGCAGCTCTGTGTTCTCAAAGCAGTGTAGAGAAGACATGCAAATGACATATTGAGATGGAAATACCTAGAACTGTGGCTCTTGAGCACTTCTGACCCAGCCACTGTAACCACAGTAACATGACAACACAAAAGTCTCCCAAACACTCCACTGTCTGAGCGTCAGCTCGTATTTGTGATCAGGACCACAGCAGGATAAATAAGGCTACTAACATTTACATAATATATTAGACCCACAACAGAAAGACCAGAGCACCATCCGCTCAGAGGGACGAGATTCAGCCTGTTCACAGCCGACAGAGTCGTGTGCAGTGAGAGGAGCTCTTCATTCTTTTGTATGAAGGTCTGAATATGCTCATTGAGGCAATAACACTAAATTATAACTTGTCAATAAAATAAATACATGTAAAAAACACACGCTATGCTATAGCAGCACTGAAATGATCAGAAGTAGACTGGAGAAGGTGTGAGTACAGACAAAGGAGTTTCATGGGGTTTCACACAACTCTGTAAAAGCAAATGGACTGAAAATGCAGACCATTACTCAGTTTTTCAAACTTAGTACTAAGTTGTTCACATGAACAAAACTTCAAGCGTGTGCTGTGTCTATAAGAAGACCTCAGTGGGGTATAAATAATTGTAAATGTAGGAGGGGCAAAATTCTAATATTATAATGGCAACTCTGGCTGTGTCTGTCCAGACCTGTTTTCACAGATTTTATGAAAATGAATATTCACCTTAATAATACAGAACCTACTTGTGGGGGGGGGGGGCACTTGTCTACAATTCATGCAGACTCCAGTGATGATTATTATATTTACATTATGTAAGTAATTATGTAGTAGGTTTTTTCACATTAGTCTGGTTGATAATGAGGGCCAGTATTGGTATTGGTATCACATCAATATCCATATACGTGCCATTGGATGACTTGGTTTCTGTTCAAAACAATAATCACTGTGTTTTCCTGTCACTAATGGATGAACATGGACAGATATAAAATTAAACTCAAATGCAAAAAAGTCAAATGAACAAATACATTTAAATATGAGCATGAGTTTGTTAGTAGAATGTGGCACCTGAGACTGATGTCTGTTAAAACAGGTTACCATGATTTATTGAGATTTATGTATTCTTCATTGGGGCCTGTTGTTGAGTTCCCACAGGTTCTAGACACATATTCATCGGTTTCAGAATGATGAAAGATTAGGACTGCTGCCATAGTGACTCCATGAGAAAATTACACTCATAATTGACTCTTACCATATGCTGTTGGCAGCCCTGTTTTCTGCAGTTACACTTGTGCTCAGAGGTGCATGTCTGTCCTCTCCCCTGTCCTCCAGCTCTGTCCACCTCCTCATCCTCACCCTCTGTCCACATGCCCATATCCCTAGAAAACCCCCTAGACTCCTCCTTGGAGGTTCTGTGGAGACAATCGTCCGACTGCCACTCGTGAGCTCTCACTGGATGGGAGGGCCAGTAGGACTCAGAGGGCCTGTTCAGACTAGCCCCAGCGCTGGTGGACACTTGCCTGAACTTCATGACATTTGGTTTGTATTGTATGTGCAGATCTGTCCACGACTGCACTGCCCGGAAAGCGTTGGTGGTATCCAATTTGAACCTTCTTGGGAGGGCTGCATGTTTGGGATTGTCCACGTAAGGAATGTCCTTTCTGTGGACAATGTGAGAAGAGGACGAGGACAGCATCTGGATGGAGATAGAACGCTTGGATGACTTGTCCTCCAAGTCTATGAGGGGCATTGAAGAGGACTTATCTTCAATGTTAGACTTGATGGAATCTCTGAAGGTCCTGTCATTTGGCAATGAAGATTTACGAGCTGAAGGCAGAAAATCAAGATTGGGCTCTCTAGCCAATTCTTCAATGGTGTCTAGATCCTCTAGGCTTTCAGACAGAGGGCTTAAGTCTACAACCTGGACAGGTTCCGCCCAGTACACCTGTCCAAAAGAATCTAGCTCCTCAAAGAACGTCTCAACATCTCCAGAGTCTACTTCGGAACTGTCCACTGATGTTTCAAAGACATCATCCAAGCTCTCAACCTCGATCAGCTCTGACACTTTTGGACACAATTCTTCAGGACCAAGAACATCTTCAACAACATTCTTTTCATTATCAGAATCCTTATGAAAACTTTCTTCTTCCCTTTCTACAATGACTATGTCTTGAGATTCTTCCTGCCATTCAATATCTGTCTCAAGGTAGACATCTTCTGAAGGCAATCTTGGACCTAAATTACTTACAATTCTTTTTACCTCCAAAATGTTTCGCAGAGGTCCTTCTTCATTCATAGTTAGGCTTTCAAATGAATCTTGCCGACTTAGAAAATGTGTCACCATAGGACTATTTGTTTTCTTCTGAGAATGGAAGTCCTCTTCAGTAGACTTTGAAGTTTGGTAATGTGGAATTTTGTCAAAATGAGTAGTATGGACGGAATTACTATAGATTTCCCTTTTTGGAGAAGGAACAAAATATGCATTTTTTTCTTCTAAATCTGATGTCTCATGGATATTGTCAATGTCAGAAGACCTAATTTTAGCTGTAGTCTCTTGTTGACCATTTGCCAATGGTTCAGTTACAGGCGAAGAATCATAAGAAGGTAATAAGACATCATTATTGTCACGTTCATTCCCATGAGGAACCTGTTGGCTGGTCTGGAGCTTTGAAGCAGAATCAGAATCCAAGGTCGATGTTGGGACCTGCAGTTGGTCTGAAGCCTCTGGAGACCCAGGTCCAGGAAGAAGGTCAGGCATGTGGTCTGAGGCTGTGGGGGAACAGAGGGAGGTCTGTGTGGGCATGTCTCCAGGGTGACTGTCGGTGCTTCCTCCAGACAGAGCAGAGAGAGCCTGAAAGACACAAGTGGATACATGAATTGTTAAGTGTAGCGTCACTTCCAGGTCCAGGGCTCATCAGCAGATTGAAAACAATGGACACATTTTCCATTCCCTCTTTTTTGTGACTGACTTGTGAATTTATGGATACACATACACTTTTGAAGGCAATTCTCTCGTTTGATGAATAGCACAATAGAATTTAGTAAAAAAAATAAATAAATAAAAAAGCTAAAAAGCTGTGAAGCTGTGAAATTGCTGGTTGTACCTGGACAAGACATCATAACTTAACAATCCCATAGGTGTGAAGTGGTCAGTTAGCAAGAGAGTTGCCGTTTTATATTAAAATATGCACTGTACTGAGAAAACACCTACAAGAATGTGTGATTAGACAAAGTGGTGTTCTGACCTTGAGCAAATCCGGTGCTGGGGAGGTGTCCTGGGGCAGGGCTGGGATCAGAGGGTCCTCCAGGAACCCACTGCTGTCCGACTGGCAGCTGTTGACCCGGATCAGACCCCTTGCTGTAGTCAGAAGTACAAATACATGCCTTACTGCATTACAATGTAGTGACTTATAATACATGTCTTACTGCATTAGAATAATAACTCATAGTACAACTGTCTGTGCTAAAGATGACCCACCAAAGTGTGTCCCTGCTGGGTCCTGTCCCACGGCGCTGCTCTCATCAAAGCTGCCCAGCTAAAGCATCAGAACACACAGGGTTACAGCACAGTTTATCTGCACAGGTCTTCTGCTTCTGATCCTGCCTCAACTGCTTCAGAATGTGTCAGGAGTTATGTTCTTAAAGTGTTTATACTGAAAATGGACTGGATGATTGTCCTACTAGAAGATACATGACAGGAGAAACAAACACTAGAGATGATTTGAACAGCAGCTGCTGGGAGGTTATACAGATAGCTGGAAGATAGTCAGGAGTAAACTTGGTTCATGATAATACTCCAGTTCATTATTATTAAAAAGACAAAATCGAATGAATTGGATTAATAGCCTAGCCCTATTATCATGACTCAGTCACATCTCTTTCTCGACTCACATTACTTTCTGTAAGTTTGCGCCTTATCTGGATTTAATCTTAGCCTGCCATCTAATGGCGGCAGTGGCAATGCTAAACACGCAGTGGAATGAATGCAACCTGACTACAGAAATACTCTGGAGCTTTGGGACAGCCCTTGGAAAAATGATTTCTGAGCTCAGAGAGAAAAAACAACAACTCGTAAACATAATGGATTAATGAAACAAATATGAAATAAGCTAAAATACAGCTACAGGTTTTGATATTATGCCATGGTTAAAAGTTTAATTGTGCATAATATGTTCCCTTAAATAGTGAAAATAACAATATTACCCACCTCTTCCATCTCAAAGGACTCCCTCATCTGCAAACTCCTCTTCCTCTGCAGAACTCTGTCCAAGAACCGCTCTCGGATCGTCCTGGGCTCTCCCTCTGGAGTGTACCCAGTGGAGGTGGTGTCTCCCTGGGCCTCTGCCTCCTCCCCCTCCTCCTCCACAAAGGGACTCAGGCTCAGTGTGTCCTGCAGTTTGACCCTTTTGAAGGGGACCTTCCTGTCTTCAGGGCTGTATGTGGGCTCCAGGGCTTTGGGGAGGACACCGGGCATGGTCATAGCGGTAGCCACAGTTAGCTCCTGAGGGATGGGGCCGGGGAGCTGGCTCAGGGACTTTTTGGAGGCCCTCCGGAACAGCATGCCCATCCGCCTGCGCCTCTCCCGTGCCTCAGGGGACATGTCTCTGGAGTAGGGGCCTTTGTGGGGCCCGGCCAGGGAGGAGAAGGCCACGGACACCTGCTGCAGAACCTCCACCTGCCTGAAGCGGTCTGACAGGACATATAGGAGGATAGAAGAGTTAGATTTTTGGTGGAAGAACAGGGAGCAAGGAGAGTGGAGATTTTTTTGAAAGAAGGAGTATTATACGTCTATGGGGGATTAACTGCTAACACATCAGCATGTTACCTTTCATTGTTCGCCCAAAACAACGTATTAACATGTTTCATATGTTTCACTTTCATTTTTAACTTTCTGAGTCTCCTCTCCTTTTGCTCTCTGTGCTAAGTCACTCCCCTTTCAGAGTGTGTGCAATGGTTCAAAAATTTATTTTGCATAATACCCCCCCTTTAAAAAAATGAAAATAAAAATATGTTTAAGTGCAGATATATTGTATAAGCAGCTCTTGAGGTAAAAATAAGTCTGCTGTGTACTGTCTGCCTCTAATGTATGCATTTTATTGTCCAATAATCAGGAAGTGCTCATTAACACGCTTGTTGTTATTAGCGTGGATGAAATGGCAAAATGACGCCTGTTCTCTGAGAGTTGTGAAAAGTGCTTCTAAACTCATCATGGTGAATAATCAGGATGCTCAGAACACAGAAGGCAAGTGAGGAAGAACTTTTGACCACTGCAGATGATTTATAATGAATGAGATCTGTTCTTCACTCACTCAGAGCAGAGCTTTCATTGCTTTGCCTGGAATGTTACACAATTTGTGGACAAAAGCACAAAAATACACAAGTAATGCTGTGTTCTAAAATGGAATACTTTTACTTATGTCAACATGGAAATGTCCATCCAAATTACAGAGAAGGTTAAGTAGTTACTTTGAAGTATCTGTGTCAGTATCAGGTGTTGTCCTTACTGCTGACGTCTGGGTTTTCCAGGTCAATGCGGCTCTTTTGGGCCTCTAAGAACACATTGAGGTTGATTCCTCGGGCCTGAGACTGGTAGTTAATGAAGCGTGCAGGGATCCGACCAGAGAGATCTGGCTCATCACAGCCAAAGCCCAGCTCGAGGAGCAGCTCCTCAGGGTCATCGTTCCACAGGAGGTCCATCTCTGCGACTGCATGGACACAGGGACATCACACACACCAGTGTTCATTTCATTTAAAATACATTCAGCTGGTTTACTGATATTTTTGTTGAATAATATAAAATAAACATAAATGGAAGGAGTGAGTGAAACTAGATCCAAGTTCCACTTTTCAGTCCCAGAGCTCCAAAGCAGAGCATAAACAAATATACAGATATAGATATACAACTAGAGCAACTTATTTGTGTTTTACAGCTCTTGCTATGATGAAGACCATCTCCAAAGTGAAGTGTTTTGCCCAAAGATACAACAGCATGAGCAAGTAAGAGATGGTGTCAATACTTCTCCTAATTATGATTAAAAACACAAACTATAGATCCATAATAGTACTGAGTATTTGGTTTAGACAGAGTTAGCCACTTAGGTCTTTACATCAAGGAACCACACTCACACACCAGTGTGTACACAAGGCAAGGTGGGGTCAAGAGCCCAAGGACACAACAGTATTCATCTGTGGCAGCTGGAATTTCACCGCCAACCTGTGACAACCTGTGGGTCAGTGAACCTATGACTTACTGATGATGTTAATGTCAGCAGCAGGATTAGAACATAAATACAAACAACACATCTGTGTCCACAGCAACTTACAGATGGAAAGGTCTTCGTCATTTGGCATTTTATATTGTCACTGTTACTTTATATTGTCACTGTTACACTGTTATATTGTCACTCTACACTGATGCTCTGGTGTGAGGAGTTGATGTGTAGTGAACATTTAAACAGTCAACAGTGATAGTAAAACACTTTCTCTCCTGCTGTTAGCTTTAGCTTCATGCAAAAGTGTGGGTCTGGATTTGCCTGGTAAATAAGTGCTTGGGCTCACAGAGCCACACGCATCACAAACACGTTTAAGACATATTCATTTGAATTGAGGGAAATTCAATGTCAGATAGATCAATAAATATGACACCCCTCAACAATTTAGTAACCAACAGAAACCTGCTCCTGGTTTGATCCCAATGTACACAGAAAAAAGTGAAGTGTTAAAATTGACTCACAGAAACATTTTCTCAGGATTTATTTGAGTCCAATCTGTTCTAGAGTTAATTTAACATTTTTGGAAATGTTCATTAAGTAACACTGGACCAAAGTTCCTGTTTAACCCCGAAATCAAGAGTTATATTCATGTTTTGAGAGTAAACAGATAACACTTTGTAGAGTTATCCTGATTTAGCTAAACAACACACAGAGGTGTTTTATTTTTACATTTTATTTTAGTTAATTTAAGATGAAATTATGAACAAAACTGGTTCAAACTGGTCTTCTCTGGCAGGAGTTTGAAGTAGGGTCTGGTCAAGTGGTAACAGAGGGAAACGGGCAGATTTTTGACATTCAAATAGCTCTTATTCAGAAACTAGAGGGACTATTGAAATAAGTAAAGTATCAGAATGTAGGAAAGAGTTAACACTCCAACAGGGTAAACTTAAACCTGTGATATTCTTTCAAGTTGTTGACAAAAAATAAAAAAAACTCATGTTGGTAACGGAGGGAATGAAATATGCAGCACTTTTTGGGTAATAAATACAAACAGTGATAACTAGTGGTTCTCACTTACATATCCTTAACAAACTGGTTTGAATATTTGCTTCATATAGTTTTCTACCATATGGTACAAGATTAGATTGAAAAACCTCTTATTTTTTGAGTCATGAGATTTTTTATTAAGAAAGGTCATGGTAATGGATGGAAAAGTAAAGGAGGGAAAATTGTGCAAACAAGTAGAAGGTGCAGGATTTTACATAATTTGTCAGCTTTTTTCTTCCAAATACTTTAATATTACTTCAAAATGAAAAGAAACTATTTCTATAAAATATGTCAGTCCTTTCAAGCTTATTTTTATCATTTAAAATTCTTTTTTTTTTTTTGAAAAATCATGTACCTTCATCAACAGTTCAAAGATGGAATAACATAAGATATGATGAAATACATCCATTTATTGACATGATTTGCAGGTCTTTGAAATTTGTGAAATAATTTTTGTTCCATGTTTCATACATGGTCTGTTTAAAACATATGGAACTTTAGAACCAAAAATGGTACAGAAAAAAGGTCAACAGTTTCATAAACTAGAGTACATATGTATCTGTTCAATACATTTTTATATCAGATGCATTAACTTGAATTTTTGGCCTTGCTGTTTACTTCTGCTTAATGGCCCCTGTTTAAGAAAAATCCCAGAACCGCCAATGTCGAACCCCCATTCAACTTTCAAATTGTTAAAACACTTTTTGTGTTAAAAATAACTCATAAAACAAATATTTTACCCTGAAATTTTTACCCTTTAGTTTTTGCTGTGTAGTCCTGGTGTAGACTTGGTATGGTTCTGGTTCAGTCCTGGTCTAGTTTCAGATGGTGTCCCAGTTAAGATACATTGTATGTGTGCAAGTGAAGACAGTTAAATGTTCTTTTGAGTTTATGCATTCTGGTATCAGTGATCTCTTTAATTCTATTAACAGGACAAAAGTTTTTTAAGAGCTACTGTAATCCATCTGTCTGTTCATTCAAGAGGCTTCTACAATTCTGACAGAATTCTAGTAAGACACTGCCTTATGTGTCTGACAGGATGAACTCATTACACTGGAACTAACACACCCTCCTTTACAGTCAGGAGTGTCTGTTCTGAGCTCCCCTCAGTCAGGTTTTGCATAATGGCTGATCTCACATATTAGCATACTGACTATCACTCTGGTGTTCAATAGATCTTAACCATAAAAATAGGTTCAGCCTCTTGGCATGTGTTAATCCCGCCGCCATCTTGCTACAGAGTTTCCATGATCTAAGGTAAAGTTTTTCATAGTATCTGCAAGAGAAGATGCCAAACAAAAGCATAACACAGACATTTCATAGGTAAGATTTGATTTTGTAGGTGTATGATACTGAACCCAGACTGACTGAACCCAGGACTAAACTAGGACTGAACCAGGACTAAACCAGGACTAAACCAGGACTGAACCAGTACCAAGGTAGTCCATGTGAGATCCACTGTTCTATACCTCTGGCTCTTTGCAAATATGCACATTCAATCAGACTTCAGCCTGCTCACACTGTTTATACACTGTCAGTCCATATCCACCCAGACGGGGGTGCAGGTCGGTTGTTTGTCCAGAGCAGGACTGTGTGTGTGTGTGTGTGTGTGTGTGTGCAGCTGCCTGTTGTGCCACAGGAGGGCGCTGTGTTTAAAGCTATGTGTGCTCCACTACATGCTTTTGTTTCACTTTTCCTTTAGTATTTGAGGGTGCACTGGGTAAATGATCTGGGGGAGGGTCCACTACCTGCTTGTTGTCATGGAGATACTATTGCTTTTCCCGGGATGTTCAATGGTATGACACTAAACATATCCAGCTACCTTTTATTCATTCTGTGTGTTTCTATTGCTCACAAATACAGTTACTCCTTTTAAGAGTAGGCACGCCTCTCCACAGATCTGAACTGTGGAACATTCTAGACAAGGCAAAAGCATTTCCATGGAAACAAGCAGGCAGTGGACCCTCCACCAGAAAAGTTACACAGTACACTTACATTTTACTGAAAATAAAAAGTAAAAGTATTTCTATCACTACATGCTTAATAAATGCTTTATGATACTGACAAAACCTTTATGCTTCAGGTCATCAGGTCTAATGGCTATAAATATAGATATATAGATATATAGATATAGCTGAATAGATAGATAAGTGTAAAGTTACACAGTGTTAGAATGACTAATATAAGGATGTCACAAATACTGACACAGTTATGTAATGTTCCAGTGATAATTGAGCGGCCGTGGACTCTGGCTGTCTTCATGTTCTGTTTGTGAATCTGAGCGTGGACACTGAAGGTCCGTGACAGCTCATGTTTACACAGGAATACACAGTGTTATTACAGCAGGTTACAAGTGCATCATTAGGATCACACAGACACCTCGGATTATTTTCTAAAACATGGTGAAGTTTGTAGTTTAAAGAGAGGCTGTTATCCAAAATCAGCTGGACCTGGAGCTTTCTACCATATTACTAAGTTGTTTCCTCATCAAAAACATGCCTGAAGAGGTTTTAAATGTCATCCATGCATGTTTGGGTAATCCAGTGATCTCTCCACTAACATAATTGCACAAACATGTTACAAAACTGTACACAACAATCTAACAAACCATGCATGCTGATGCATTGTGATTGCTCTGAAGGGGGAGTGACTTGGTGTGCAGAGCAAATGGAGTTAAAACTCTCAGCATCAAAAATGAAAGTGAAATTTATAAAACTATAAAACTAATTTATAAAATTTGTAAATACATTGTTTTTCTGGAATATGACATTTTAAAAGGTAATGATCTAAATAAGTGTGATAATAAAAAATTAAACTGGTAAATACATTATTCCATGTGGCATGTGTAGTTGAAATTACAGCTACAGTATGTTTCTGTAGTTGCATTGTATTTCATTAGTAGTAGTAGTAGTAGTAGTAGTAGTTGTAGTAGTAGTAGCAGAAGAGTAGTCAACCCTGCAAGACTAGGGGACAGGGAGCACCGTGTCTGATACTGTGGACAGTAATGTAGGAGCTCCCCAGGGTACAGTCCTGTCTCCATTTCAGATACAGACAGACAACAGATAATGCTCCCTACAACTGGACCAGAACTCACCCTTATGTAACAGATAATACTCCCTACAACTGTACAACAACTCACCCTTATGTAACAGATAATACTCCCTACAACTGTACAACAACTCACCCTTATGTAACAGATAATCCTATGTCCTGTCAATCAATATTTCATCTTTGCACTGTTTCTCTTTATGATCTCATATGCAGCCAAGATCTATTTTTATTACTATATTTCAATATTTTATTTTGACTTGTACATTTACATTTATATAATTATACCATATTTCACTCGTGTCTCCTGCTATGTTTGCTGCTAATTTTGAATGTATTATTGCATTACATTTTGCTCTTTGTTTTTATTATATTGTGAGCTATTGTGTG